TACATATTTTAACTTAAATTAGGCAAAATAGAATTAATTCAATATTCCTGATTTCCTATTGGGTACATCTCTGTTTCTAGTTTCGATTTTAAATTGCACAAAATTAGGGGGTTAGTAATGGGGGACTCACCTAGGTGTACTTGCAGGGTTGAGCTTTAGTTGCTGGGTCCCGATTTTCACCTTAGAGGTGGCCAGATGTGGTGTGGTCACCTTGCGGGTCAGTTTTTAATTACCGATAATCCCATCTTCTTGTACCAATATCCCAGCTCCTTGTCCTCATATCCCAGCTCCTTGTCCTCATATCCCAGCTTCTTGTCCTCATATCCCAGCTTCTTGTCCTCATATCCCAGCTCCTTGTCCTCATATCCCAGCTCCTTGTTCTCATATCCCAGCTTCTTGTCCTCATATTCCAGCTTCTTGTCCTCATATCCCAGCTCGTTGTCCTCATATCCCAGCTCCTTGTCCTCATATCCCAGCTCCTTGTCCTCATATCCCAGCTCCTGGTCCTCATAACCCAGCTTCTTGTCCTCATATCCCAGCCCCTATCTATGGGTCTGGAGCCGGCCCAGCCTGCCCACCCCAGCCGGCCCAGCCTGCCCATCCCAGCCGGCCCAGCCTGGCCATCCCAGCCGGCTCAGCCTGCCCATCCCAGCCGGCCCAGCCTGCCCATCCCAGCCGGCCGAGCCTGCCCATCCCAGCCGGCCCAGCCTGCCCATCCCAGCCGGCTCAGCCTGCCCATTCCAGCCGGCTCAGCCTGCCCATCCCAGCCGGCTCCAGGCCCACGCCGGCTTATGGATTTCGTGGATACGGCTCATTTGAATAATTCATACTGCCGATGGGACCATAAACTCTCGGGGCCGCGGGGAGTTTTACTGGGCAGTTTCATTTCACGGCTCAATGATAATGTTAAAAGGCAGATAGGTAGAGTTTTGTTTCATGTGGGGGTCTGCTTGCTGCTTTGTGTCTGCTTACCCCCTGTCTGCTGACCCCCTGTCTGCTGCCCCCCTGTCTGCTGACCCCCTGTCTGCTGACTCCCTGTCTGCTGACCCCCTGTCTGCTGACCCCCTGTCTGCTGACCCCCTGTCTGCTGACCCCTGTCTGCTGACCCCCTGTCTGCTGACCCCCTGTCTGCTGCCCCTCTGTCTGCTGACTCCCTGTCTGCTGATCTCTGTCTGCTGACTCCTGTCTGCTGACCCTTTGTCTGCTGCCCCCTGTCTACTGCCTGTATGCTGCTGCCTGTCTGCTGTCTTCTGCTCGGTAAATAGGTACGGTAGCCGCTAGGACATCGTGGTGTACATTTCGATTAAATCAAATGCAATACGCGGCCCGTGGTGGCCAATGGTGGCCCGTGGTGGCCGATGGTGGTCCATGGTGGCCCATGGTGGCCCGTGGCGGCCCATGGTGGTCCTGGAGGAGACTCGAACGCTTGTAGGTAATGAGCCACGGAAGGTGGTTCCCCACTGTTCCTCTACAGAGAGAGGACAGACGGAAACACACATGCTGTAAATCCACCACAACCCGTATATACGCTGTAAATCCACCACAACCCGTGTATATACGCTGTAAATCCACCACAACCCGTGTATATACGCTGTAAATCCACCACAACCCGTATATACGCTGTAAATCCACCACAACCCGTGTATATACGCTGTAAATCCACCACAACCCGTATATACGCTGTAAATCCACCACAACCCGTGTATATACGCTGTAAATCCACCACAACCCGTATATATATACACGCTGTAAATCCACCACAACCCACATATACGCTGTAAATTCACCACAACCCGTATATACGTTGTAAATCCACCACAACCCGTATATATACGCTGTAAATCCACCACAACCCGTATATATACGCTGTAAATCCACCACAACACGTGTATATACGCTGTAAATCCACCACAACCCTTGTATATACGCTGTAAATCCACCACAACCCGTACTTATAAGCAACAGCTGGTGACGCTACATTTAGCGCAGTGTTACCAACCGTTCCGCTCAAGTGTAGCGACTGAGGCGTTTTCTTTACGCGTTTCCTCAGAGGGAAAATGGGCGGCGAGGCATGGACTAAAGTAAACGTAGCGTCTGCGTGACGCAAAGATGAGTCGCGCATCGCTTGGCAGCCCCACCACGACGTGCTTACTTAACGCTCCTCAGATTGGAGGCTAAGGTGCACTTGGTGAGTTTACCGGCTGATGTAGACCACTAAGCTATGGGCTTGATAGACTGCGTAGGGGGGTTTGTGGGTAGGTTCGAACTCATTTGATTCAGCAAAATGGGTATACTATTAGATGCTTAGTCGATTTGTTCGACGCTGTGCCTAACTGGCTCGACTTTTACGTGCAAATCAGACCATAGTGTGGCCGGGGAAGACCATGGTCTGGCGGGGAAGACCATGGTCTGGCGGGGACAAGATATATCTCGTTCTTTATCTTCAAGACACAGGCACAAGGAGATTTGTTTTTCCGTTTTAATTACTGCGAGACAGATGGCTCCCAGCACCACCACCGTCCTCTGCACGCTCCTAGGACACTCCCAGCACCACCACCGTCCTCAGCACGCTCCTAGGACACTCCCAGCACCACCACCGTCCTCAGCACGCTCCTAGGACACTCCCAGCACCACCACCGTCCTCAGCACGCTCCTAGGACACTCCCAGCACCACCAACCTCCTAGCAGTCAGATACCGACAAGAGAGAGAGACTCGCGAGCAAGAGGAGTCAGAAAGAGAGAGAGAGAGTGAAAAGTCAGAGGGTCGGAGTGGGTGGGTCGACCCACGATAACACAGCCCCCTTTCTCACAGTCGCTATCGGCGGGGAGTCGAACCCGCGTCCCGGATGCATTATAGCGATTTGATTGCTTTTATGGAAGTTCTCAGTGGAGTCGGGGCCCGGTTTCTTTGGCTCCTTGAACCCCGTAGCGATGAAGTTATAATTGAATCCCAGACTGGAAAAGGGAATTAGGGAAGCAGAATGGACACATTTTTGCCAAGATAGCACATGATAGCAGCAGTATGTGTCCTGCCCTGTGTCCTGTGTCCAGCTGTTTAGGCTTCCAGGGATACTAATGGTAATTAGTTTTTTTTTTTTTTGTGGGGGTGAGCTGGTCTTAACTCTCGAAGATGGTACGGGTAATGTCAGGGCAGGAGTGGTGGGAGTGAAGTCTTGAGAATATATGTGTGTGTATATATATATCTGACGCCAAACGTCATTTGTTTAGTGGTTTTAATTAAGGAGAATAACTGTGGGTGTACAACCCGTTCTCGCACTTGTGTACAGTCAATATTGTTTTATTTAGTAAGTGCATATGTGACATACTAATTGATTGTGAATATTTTAGTTTACCTTGAAAAGCTTCATAGAAAACACCGACCTCACCTAACCTTCTTAGTATGTTAAGATAAGCATCTTATTGCTTCTTATTTACAATTATTACTTAACCTATACCGTTGATACGTTAAGTAATAATTGTCTACGACGTCTCATTAAATACTAACATTAAAATATTACTGAATCTATACGGCGCGTGCCCTTGAATTCTAGCATAATTAAATATCAATCAAATGATATGTTAAATAATTTGATATAAAGTATATAAGACAAATAATGGTTGACATGTGCATTTTTCGTGATTACTCAAAACCCTATTATTTCTACCCATTATTGATTTAGTATAGTTATACTGTCCCATTCCATTCCCCCGTCCCATCCCAAATCCTTATCGTGACGAACAAATCCACAAGGGCCGTGACGAGGATTCGAACCTGCGTCCGGGAGCATCCCAGACACTGCCTTAATCGACTGAGCTACGACTGTGTGTGGTGACGTTATCCTGACCCCTTCTCAGTACTATGTGATCGTAATGGCTTAGCGTTTTCTCCTGGGATATTTCTCACCCCTTGCTATCATGTCTTCCTTTTCTTTCCCCATTCTCTTTTCCTCCTCTTCCTTCTATTCCCTCCTTCAGTATTACATTTAGACTACCTAATTCCTTCACCCTGACGGGAGACATCTCCCGTCACGCAGGGTGCAGTCGCACCTCCACAGATCTCCAGTATCATCTATTGATACTGGTAATGGCTCAAAAGGGCCACCACTTACGGGTTATTCATGCCCGTGCCACCTCTTGGGTGGCTTAATCTTTATCAATCAATCTTATCCTTCTCCCTCTCCGTTCGTGGTAGGCGGAGTCTTAGGTCCCCGGAGGTGCCTTGACTCTGCTCTCAGCGGGGCTCATTGAACGCATTGAACGACTTTAACAGGAGACAGTTGGGATAGAATTGGCCTCAGGCTCGAGCGAGAGGACGGACAGAAGAGTGGACAGAAGTCAGACGAAGAACAGACTCAAGGGGAAGAAAGTTTGTGGAACCGCAAACAAAACACTTGAGAAAGAACCCGAGGAACCCCAGATTGATCGCTGGAGAGATACGGCCAAACTTTCCACAGTGAATTACCACCCGAATTCCAATGGGCAACGTATCTGAAAATCTTTATAGATGAGGTGTCAACACATTCCGTATTGGCTAGAGACTCTAGACATATAGAAAGGCGAGTTTGCGGGTCCTAGACGGCCGGACGTTTGCAAGTATTGAAGGGGTTACGGCCAAAGTTGGACTTGGAGATGTGTGGAGCATCAGGTATGGATATGGGCTGATTAGGGTGTGTGTGTGTGGAGTAGAAGCGGGTGGTAAATAGGTGCTGAGATGCAGTTCATCACTCCACTGGATGATGAACTGTCCGACCCCATCCACTATTTCCCTCGTACCATCTGGGTTGGCTGGACACGTATATGAGTGGGATTGGGTGGTTATAAATAGGAGCTGCATCGTATGGGCCAATAGGCCTTCTGCAGTTACCTTTGTTCTTATGTTCATCTGACATTTGTATATCCCTTACCAGTCCCTTCAAACCGTCCCTCTTCCTCACGTCCCTCTCACCCTGTCACGTACCTCCCACCCTGTCACGTATTTCATAATCTTCTCTACTCTCCGACAGACACGGACGACAGCGATATGGAGGGGACGCTCTCCAACATCTCCCGTCAGGTAATGCGGCCCCCAGGCTGCTCTGGCAAGGCCAAGAGGGGCCACCTCTGCTTCGACGCCTCCTTCGAGACAGGTGAGGCCAGGATGAGTGTGGCCAACCCGTTCTCGCACTTGCTTATAGTCAATATCTTGCTTATGAATAAGTGTATATGTGACATATTAATTTATTGTGAATATTTGAGTTTTAGTGACTAAGCAATAAGTCATATATGTGCTGTCTTGTGCGAGAGCAGGTTGCAATGGCTAGGGTGTGGGGTAGGGTGTGGCCAGGGGCAACTTAGAGTGACCAGTTAAGACCAAGGTTCGAACCTAGAGTGAGTCAAGAATGACACAGGTAAACTGGCAAATGACTCTTTGTCTTAAACTGAGTTTATTCGTAATTTATGACTTGAATGTAATATTAATCGTTGATTGGAAATATAAATAGTGCATGCTGAAAACGTTTTCTATGAAGAGTTTGGTTTTCTGTAAATTGAATTCGTGGGCACACTAAAATAGTTTTCGAATTCCATATTTCACATTATCGTCAATAATACAGTGTTAATGCAACAAAACATAATGAAACCTAAAGTAACCTTAACATTAACCTAATCATAGATAGAGAGTAGATAATAGAACAAATTGTGTATTCGTTCCTAATCCATTCGTTCAAAGGGCTCTAATCTCTGAGGATAGGTTGCATAAGGGTGAACAGATACATGATTTTCCAGGGTTCTAACTAGAAAACAGCATAACAGATTTGGCCACAGTGACAGCCTGTCTATTAGTAGACATTGAGAAGTCACACCTCTGGGTGGTAGCCAGGTCAGGTTAGGTCACATGTATATGAGATAATGTCAGGTATGTTATGGCTTCATAATCCACTTGTGATTACCTGAGGGAGGTCTGACAGCTGAGTGGACAGTGCTCGGAATTAGTAGTCCTAAGTTTCCGGGTTCGATCCCCGTCGGAGGCGGAAACAAATGGGCAGAGTTTCTTTCAGCGTGATGGCCCCTGTTCATCTAGCAGTAAATAGGTACCTGGGAGTTAGACAGCTGCTACGGGCTGCTTTCTTGGGATTGTGTAACAAAAAGGCCTGGTCGCGGACTGGGCCGCGGGGATGCTAAGCCCCAAAATCATCTCAACATAACCCCAAGATGATGGGGCAAAAGCACTCAATGGAAATAAATGATCAAGTATGGTAATGGATATTGAATTCCGTGTCAAACAGAATATTGTTGTTGTTTAAGATTCGCTACCTGAAACAAAAAGTTCAAAGTAGCACGGGGTATGGTGAGCCCATAGTGGACTAAGGCAATGAGTAACAGTTGTAACACACTCAAGTAGAAGCACAGTGAAAGCTTCTGTACCTCAGGGCACAGTCCTTGCAGCACTAATATCTTTTATTCTCATAACAGAGAATACAGTTAGGTGTATTTTTTTTTAAGATAGCACAAATATTATCATGAAAATTACTTCTGTAGAAGACATTGAAAAAAACAAGCTGGTATTAATAAAGTTTTCAGTGGGGAAATAACACCCTGTTTAACAGTGATAAATTCCAGGTACTTATGAATGGTAAAAAGGAAGACATTGAAGGCATCTGATCTACGCATAATAGACAAGCAACATGTTTAATGTAGAATCTAGGAACAAACATAGTGTCAGCTAGACAAATGATAAGATGGATTAATACAACCCTCATATCCAGGGATCCCATCATGTATAAGAAATATTGCCAGAACAGAAGTGGATTTAAAGAAAACAATGGTTTTCTGCAAGAAGTGCCAGACCAATAGGGCTGTGGTGGATACCTGGTCCTTCGAGCCGCTCCAAGCAACAGCGTGTTGGATCAAGCTCTCACATGTCGAGCCTAGCCCCCAGGGCAGGCTTTGGGAGTAGAAGAACTGTTATTGCAACTATCGCATAGTGAAAATACTTTAGAGCGTTGCAATGGCAAATATTTCATTCTGAAATTCATATACATCGTTGCCATTTGCAGGTATTGCATACCGTTAATAATTTATAACAATATGCCATGGCAAGATGACTAGTATTGCATTAGTCATTTACAGCGTTGCCATAGCTATAATTGTGTAAATCATTTACAACCTTGCCTTAACCATAATACCGTAAGTTGAATCACTTAGAACCATGCGATAGCTATAACGAGTGTAAATGATTTACACCGTTACCTTAATTTACTTCCAACGTTGTCATAGTTCTAATAGAATAAACCATTTTCGTGTAAATGAGTTACATGAAATTTACACCATTTACATACATGTAAATAATTTTCAGTAATAAAAACAACAAAAACTAGTAAATGTAATTATCAATTAAATGTAAATTGGTAAATGAGAGACCATGAGCAGCAGGCAATTATGAGGAGAAAGTGCAAAGCCAACAAGACTATCCAGCACCTATGAGGACAGGATAGGAATTGTGATAGAAGAACAGGAGTGAAGGAACGGTGCCTAGCCACTTGTACCATCGGGGATCGAAAGCCGACCTGCAAGAAGCGAGGTGATCCCCCCCCCCTCCCAACAAGCAATACCTCCCTCAAGATAGCGCAGTCATAGGAAAAGTTTCCAATCAGGAACTGGGGGGCTAAACACATGGCTAAAAGTTTCTCCAGCTTGAAAATGCCACTAGAGATAAGATTGTTGCATTGGTGGGTGGATATAAGCTTGGTGTGTGTTTGTCTTTGGTGGGGGGGGGGGGTATAAGTGGTCACTTGAAGCCACTATTACACACCAGCCAGTATCACACACCAGCCACTATCACACCAGATGAAGCACTCGATCTCAGCTCAAAAGTTTCCCACTTGATAATTAGTTTTGTAAATTTGTAATTGACGACACACAAGTGGGCGGGGCTTCCACACCAGGGGGCGGGGCTTCCACACCAGTGGGCGTGGTCTGCATATTCCCACCGGGTAAATTATCGTGGGGGGGATGGGGGGTGGTCACCCCCAGATTTATCGTGAAAGTTGAGATCCTTGTGAATCCTAACACCACCCCCCCCCCCCCCCCTCTTCCCCATTTTCACTCTCCCCCTTTCTCTATGCCCTCTCCCTCCTCTCCTCATCCTTCTATACCCTGCTCAGTTTTCCCTGTTATATTTACTCACTCTTCCCCCTCTTTCCCACCATCCTTCCCAAAGCCACTCTTTCTCTCTCCCTCACCATTAGCTCAGGTGATGTAGGGTGTCCAGCGACTGGCCTGCCATCCCATCCCAGTTCAGAGGTCCGCTGGGAGGTCATCCCGGGCCCCTAACATGGCGACTCCTGTTGTAGTATAGCTCGCTCCCTGTGGGCCCAGTGGGGCTCCCTGGGGCCCTGTGGGGCTCTGTGCGGGCTCCCTGTGGCTATAGACCCATCGCCGTTTTCAGTAATTGGCATATTTTCGGTATAAGAAGTCGTAATTTGAAAAATAAAATGGGTGCAGAGAGTCCGAATTCGGGTCAAAAATCACGCTCAGGAGTCAAATTTCCGACATTTCAGACATTTAGAAAACTGCAGGGGGGGCTTGGGCAAAATATGACCCATCGCCCTTCTTTATGAATATTCTTCAATATTCTATAATATTATTCAAGAATCTATAATATTCTTCAATATTTATTAGTAAATATTGAAGAATAATATTAATTATTGAAGATTATAGAATATTGAAGAATATAAGTAAATATTGAACAATAATATTATTCTTCAATATTCTATAATATTATTCAATATTTAATAATAATCTTCATTAGTTGAATATTATAGAATATTAACTAATGAAGATTATTATGAAATATTGAATAATATTATAGAATATTGAATATTAATCAATATTTAAGATAAATATTGAATAATCTTAAATATTATAGAATATTGAAAAATATTAAGCAATATTTAATATTATTAAATGTTGTATAATATTCTTCAATATTTAATATTAATCTTCAATATTTACTAATACATATTGAAGAATATTAATAAATATTGAAGATTATTATTAAATATGAAATACATTATTATTCATTAATATTCTTCTAAACTAAATAGTATTTAATATTTAGTTTTGAAGATTATTATTTTCTTCAATATTCTGTAATAGTATTATTCAAAACTATTAGTGAGATTTTTTAAGATTAGTAATAAATAATATTCAATATTGCAGATTATTATTGAGGTTTGAAGAATAATTCCTCAATAATATTATTTTGGAAAAACAGTAATATTTCTGTATTTATTATTATATTGTGAAAATGAAGATTACTTTATGTATTTCGAAAATCTCTGAAACGTCTTCACTGATTGCTTTTCAAGTTTCACACAACGTTCAATTTGCATGAAAGCATTTTTATATCTAATATACACTATATACATACATACATGTGACCTGTGACTAAAAACTAGACAAAAGACTTGAGTTTGTTCAAATATTTTCTACAGCAACGTTCAACTATGTTTATTGACAAGAACAAATACATCGGAAAGGGATACAGTACTTGACGGTATTTCTGAGGTTGGAACAAAACGTCCTCAGATTGGGGACTTTTTTATTTTATAATGGTAAATAATAATTTACTATATATATTATTTATTAGTATTATATAATAATAACAAATAGTATAATGATAAGCAATTATTGGTAATCGCTCAAATAGCTAATTAGGATGAATGATAAATAATTATTTAGTGCATAACAAAGTATTAAGGAATAATTAGAAGGAATATTCATTAATTATAAAGTATCATTCAATTACAATTAATAACTACATCTATAGCTAGTAAATGAAACTTGCATTCATTTAATTACACTAATTACAATTCATGGCAATATTTCTTAGCTATCTGCACGCTTATCACTTTGGGGGTTCCGGCGGAGCACCCCCAATCCTGAAGGCCGAACGCGCCGGCCGCCCGCTGTAACTAGGTGTGTGTGTCGACCTCATGGGTGCAGTACTCTGCCCTCGGGCTCCATCCCTTTTCCTTGTTCATCAATGGTGTACCTTCTGCGCCTTCCGTAGTCCGTCCTGCAAGTATTAAGGCAGTAAGGGTGGGCAGAAACTGCCATGCAGTATGAACCTCACAGGGAAGGAACCTACCCCTTAAGGGAAGGACAATGGAGGACTTAGGATCGGAGGGAGACGAGGAAGACACAGGAGACATGACAGTAAAAACAAGGGGAACCCCAGACAGAACCAGGAGGGGCACCCTTTGGGACAGAACCAAAAGGAACAGGAGGGGGCAGTGGGCGTATCAGGGTCAAAGCCCTGGAAACGGTTGAGAGAGTGATGAAGGTGGCAAGGACGAGGAGAGGAAGAGCGCAACATTGCTTATAGGTTTTTCTATATAGTGAGAAAAGAAACTATTTCAAAGTCAACACTTTTACACAACTTTATGAATCACATGTTAAGGCTCTTCACTTAAATGAAAGCCCTCGCTATGAGCGCCCCGATATGCCTGTAGTAGTTGTCAAACTGCCACTTATTTCAGCACCTCAATGTCAACCTCGTACCATCACCCTCCAACTCCGTTATTCCACAATACCCACACACTTAACTATTGCATGCCGCCAATCTACTCCCTTCATCCATTGTTTGACATTTTTCAAACAAAAAATGCCAGCAAATCCCGTCCACCACGCCCTATTGTCATCACGTAAATTTACTTACCTGGACCTCGAGTGGGTGCCGCTTCAATATTCACCACTGCGTTAAGCCCGGTACACTTGCCTTACTGCCAACGTTATTAACTACTTGCTTTAACACTTATGTAAGGTACGGTCAAACACTTAATCGAACTACGTTATGAGTCTTTCGCGGTATTTTATATGCATACTCATCCGCTCTATTCAATCGCTATTGGGAAACGAAAAAATTAATAATGTTATTAATTCCTACTTTGTGTTATTGCAGCCACTTCTCCCTGCAACATGCGACACTAAATTACATGTTAATTTAGTTAACCTCATCGTTGATAATTTGGAAATGATTATATCCAAAACTACCACCAACCCTAACGATTTTATTTCAACTTCATTAATAAATCTTTCACAACGTGAACAGTAATTGTTGCCAAACTAGCTTCCTCTCACATTCAAATTCCACAATTAACTACTCTGCCGCCTCACCGTGACCTTCAAACAGCCACCAAAGAAACACTCACCGTTACACTGTAGTAAAGTGCCAAAACCTGCAACATATCCCCACCAAAATTCTACAAGAATACTCAAGACACTTACTGCCAAGTGTTCACGAATAATGAAGTTGAAGCGTCTCACTGTTCACCTTCCAGACAGCCCAGGGGTCCTGCCAATCGGTCCGGTATTACCTGCAACAACCCAACAGTTAACCTGATGCTACAATATAAATTATTCAATCATGCCTATACCAGACCTTTAATTGCAACCTGCACCTACTGAAAGTAACAATTTGATGTAGCTGCTCATTTGAAATGCATATTTTAAAGCCTCACATACAACCTGGATAGTAAACAGCTTTTGGAGGTGTTACTTGTGGGTTTACACCCTCTGACCAGCCTAATACTATTAATAAATATATAGTGAGACTGAAGTTATGTGGTCGTCCAGTTTTACATTTAAAAGACTAAAGAACCCCTGAACACGATTTAACGGCTTGGTGCGGTGTTATCATAAAATATTAACATGCCTCTAACTAGGTATTCAATAAGTGCTTTAAACTCATATCTGCTAACTCAAGTAGGACATGTACCCAAACCTCGACATTTGCAACCACCTTCTGCTCGGCATCGTCTAAGACTTGTTTCATCGGTCCACCACTAGTCCCATCACAACGGTAGTCTCCACATTCCTACATCACCAGTAGGCTCCTTTCAAGCGATGCCTCTTCTTCCAACCATTACCTCATTCACTTAATAGCCCTGAAAATAATAACGGTACAATTAAATACATATTTATACATTTTTTTAGTATTGATTAGGGATCAGGACTAAAATTAACTGCCTATATATATATGCCCCAAGAGGGTATATACGGCAGCTGTAAAATATAGATTTTTAACCCCATGTATTGGCGTTTTGCGGGTGTACAATATGAGTGTAAGCTAGGGGATCTGTCAACCCTAGCGACCCCAAAGGGTAACTGGGTACCAGCTCAGAGTAACATCACGCCCTAACACTTAGTTGTACACCACAACTATGCCAATACTGGGGTCCAAACAACGTTCCGTCGAGCCTCACCCACCAAGTCGACTCAACAGCCAATCACGTTTCGATTTTTCACTTGACGTCACATTCTCGCAACCTCTACTCTCATTGGTCGGCTCCACCTAATTGGATAATCTAGTAATTCATGACAATTATGTATGAAAACTAAAGTATATATACCCAATGTATGAGAAACATACATATACCGTATGTATGAGAAACAATGTTTGACTTTACACTCACAAATTATTACTTTTGATTACTTATTATTATTAAGTATTATTATTATGAAGAAATAATAGGATTACGTATTCAAGCTGTAAGTACAGTACACTATAGTACAGTACCGTACAGGGCATTCCACTACACTACTGTTGCCTACACCAAACTACACTACCGTACAATACAGTATGTTACTGTACAATATCGTACACAATACAAAAGTATAATGCAGTAAACTATAATACATTACGGTACAGTCCACTACAATGCAGTACAGTACACTATAGGACACAAAAGTACACTACCGTAAACTCACAGTTGCTTACTTGCCTTTCAAATGTACCAACGGCATCACCATTACAATTTTGTTCTACTTAAATAACTCTTTCTTCAATGTAACAATGGGGAGAGAACAGATTGGTGCAATGCCGGTCTATGGCAACTGACGCGTAGGCAACAGTAGTGTAGTGGAATGCCGTGTACGGTACTGTACTATAGTGTACAGTACTTAAAGCTTGAATACGTAATCCTATTATTTCTTCATTATAATAATACTTAATAATAATAAGTAATCAAAAGTAATAATTTGTGAGTGTAAAGTCAAACATTGTTTCTCATACATACGGTATATGTATGTTTCTCATACATTGGGTATATATACTTTAGTTTTCATACATAATTGTCATGAATTACTAGATTATCCAATTAGGTGGAGCCGACCAATGAGAGTAGAGGTTGCGAGAATGTGACGTCAAGTGAAAAATCGAAACGTGATTGGCTGTTGAGTCGACTTGGTGGGTGAGGCTCGACGGAACGTTATTTTGACCCCAGTATTGGCATAGTTGTGGTGTACAAGTTAGTGTTAGGGCGTGATGTTACTCTGAGCTGGTACCCCGTTACCCTTTGGGGTCGCTAGGGCTGACAGATCCCCTAGCTTACACTCATATTGTACACCCGCAAAACGCCAATACATAGGGTCAAAAATCTATATTTTACAGCTGCCGTATATACCCTCTTGGGGGATATATATATAGGCAGTTAATTTTAGTCCTTATCCATAATCAGTACTAAAAAAATGTATAAATATGTATATAATTGTACTGTTATTATTTTCAGGCCTATTAAGTGAATGAGGTAATGGTTGGAAGAGGGATCGCTTGAAAGGAGCCTACTGGTGATGTCGGAATGTGGAGGAGACTACCGTTGTGATGGCATTAGTGGTGGACCGATGAAACAAGTCTTAGACGATGCCGAGCAGAAGGTGGTTGCAGATGTCGAGGTTTGGGTAGATGTGCTACTTGAGTTAGCAGATATGAGTTTAAAGCAGTTATTGAATACGTAGGCATGTTAAAATTTTATGATACCGCACCAAGCCGTTAAATCGTGTTCAGGGTTGTTTAGTGTTTAAAATGTAGAACTTCAGTCTCGCTATATATTTAATAATAGTATTAGGCTGGTCAGAGGGTGTAAACCCACAAGTAACAGCTGGCAAAGCTGTTTACTATCCAGGTTGTATGTGAGGCTTTAAAATATGCATTTGAAATGAGCAGCTACATCAAAATAACTTTCATTAGGTGGAGGTTGCAATTAAAGGTCTGGTATAGGCATGATTGAATAATTTATATTTGTAGCGTCAGGTAACTGTTGGGTTGTTGCAGGTAATACCGGACTGATTGGCAGGACCCCTGGGCTGTCTGGAAGGTGAACAGTGAGACGCTTCAACTTCATTATTCGTGAACACTTGGCAGTAAGTGTCTGAGTATTCTTGTAGAATTTTGGTGGGGATAGGTTGTAGGTTTTGGCACTTTACTACAGTGTAACGGTGATTGTTTCTTTTGTGGCTGTTTGAATGTCACGGTGAGGCGCCAGACTAGTTAAGTGAATTATTGAATTTGAATGTGAGAGGAAGCTAGTTTGGCAAGATTTACTGTTCACGTTGTGAAAGATTTATTAATGAAGTTGAAATAAAATCGTTAGGGTTGGTGGTAGTTTTTGATATAATCATTTCCAAATTATCAACGATGAGGTTAATTTAGTTAACATGTAATTTAGTGTCGCATGTTGCAGGAAGAACTGGATGCAATAACATTGTTGCTATTGGGAAACGATAAATTGAATAGAGCGGATGAGTATGCATATAAAATACCGCGAAAGACTCATAACGTAGTTCGATTAAGTGTTTGACCGTACCTTACACAAGTGTTAAAGCAAGTAGTTAATAATCTTGGCAGTAAGGCAAGTGTACCGGGCTTAACGCCGTGGTGAATATTGAAGCGGCACCCACTCGAGGTCCAGGCAAGTAAATTTGCGTGGTGGACGGGATTTGCTTGCATTTTTTGTTTGAAAAATGTAAAACAATGGATGAAGGGAGTAGATTGGCGGCATGCAATAGTTAAGTGTGTGGAATAACGGAGTTCGAGGGTGTGATGGTACAAGGTTGACATTGAAGTGCTGAAATAAGTGGCAGTTTGACAACTACTACAGGCATATCGGGGCGCTCATAGCGAGGGCTTTCATTTAAGTGAAGAGCCTTAACATGTGATTCATAAAGTTGTGTAAAAGTGTTGACTTTGAAATAGTTTCTTTTCTCACTATATAGAAAAACCTATAAGCAATGTTGCGCTCTTCCTCTCCTCGTCCTTGCCACCTTCATCACTCTCTCAACCGTTTCCAGGGCTTTGACCCTGATACGCCCACTGCCCCCTCCTCTGTTCCTTTTGGTTCTGTCCCAAAGGGTGCCCCCTCGTGGTTCTCTTGTGTGGTGTTCCTTGTTTCTACTCGGTGTCTCATGTCTCCTGTGTCTTCTTCCTTGTCCCTCCGATCTTCCTTCTCATACTTCTCCATCTATTGAGTCTCCCCGCCGCCTGTTGGTGGAGGCTGATGTCCATCGCTCTCGTAACGGCCGTCGTGTGTGCTCTCGTTGTTTCTCCTGTTGAGACGCTGGAATCGGTTTCCCATTACGTAGTTGCTGAGACACCTGTCTCTTTAAGTCAGAAGCGTAAGCCTGGCTCCTCTCCTCCCTCCTCCCCGGCGGGTAAGAAGGGTTCGCGTTTTTCCTGGGCCCGTACTTTTGGCTGTATTGCTCCTTCACCTCCCATTTCAGTGGTTGGGCCCCCTGTTCCTGCTATTGGTTTATTTGGCCCCCGCTTCCCTCTCGGTTGCTGTTCTTGCTGAGGTGCGCTCCCCTCCCCCTCTTCCTCCTCCGGACCCCGGCCGCCCACCTCGAGTCTGTTCTCCCGCTTCCTTCCCTCCGTCTTTCCTCAGTTTACCCATAGGCCCTGATCCCGAGCCTGATATTCTTTAACGTGCTGTGTTGCTCTTTCCCCTTTGTTTCTTGTTCTCTGTTGTTTTGTCTAGTTTCGTTCAAGTATATTATTTAATTGAACGTTCTATGTTTTTACGGCAATTTCCTCGAAGTCAGTTATAATTTCGCGGTTTTGGCCCCTTTGTGTGTCCAGGAGCTGATGCTTGGTGCTCGTCCTGGTCGTTTTCGTGGGTATTCGTTCCTCCTCCTCCCGTGGTACTGTTGTGGGGACCCGTTGCAGGGTGGTAATTCATGTGGTGTGTTGATTCGCGCTCATGTTCCCTTTGTCGGGTTATTTGTTTTTTCGCGTCTCCATTGTTGTGCTGCTCGTATCTGTTTTTTGGAAATGGTACAGTTTGTTCCATTTATCTCCCCCCGAGTGTGTCGCTTTCTGTTCGTGATTTGCAACACCACCTGGACTCCTTGCCAGAGCCTGTGCTCCTGCTTTGTTATTTAAATTGTCGTCATTGTATTTTTGCTGATGTTCTGACGAATACCCGACGTCGCCTTGTTGAGGCCTTTATCCTCTGTTCTTCCCTGTGTGCTGAATTTTGGTGAGGCCTTGGACTTGGACTGTGGGACTCTTACCCTTTGCTGCCTTGATGTTTATGTGGTTTTCTTGTCTTTACTTAGATTTCACGTGGCAGATTCTTGATGACCTCCATGGCAGTGATCATTTCCCCATCCTTGGTTGCTTTTTCTCTTTTCTCCCTTCTCTTTCCTTCCCTAGGTGGCAGTTTGCTAAGGTGGACGTGAACCCATTTACCCTCAGTGGTGCTCTCTCTGACATCTCCCTTGTGCCTCTCCCTCGTGGTCTCCTCGTTTTTCATGTGTTAAACGCTGCCCTCCGCTCTATTCCTCGCTCTTCCTGTGTGGGTCAGCGGAAGTGCGTTCGTGGTGGAATGCGGATTGTGCTCGGGCAGTAAGCTTGCTGCCTGGAAGAGGCACCGCCGTCGGCGGAATTTTTTGTTTGGGAAAGCGAGTGCGGTGGCCCGTAGGGCCACCGCAGTGTCTTTCTCGAATAATTGGAATAACAGTCGAAAATTTCTCGAATAACTAATGGAATAACACTTTCTCGAATAACTGTAGAGTAGTTATCAGTTAAATGTGACAAAGGTAGTTTTGCAGGAATTAGTGTTCGTTGTGAAATAGTTATTAAAGTGGGAATAAAATAGTGAGTTGAAGTATTGAAGATATAATCATTTCGTAAGTTTGTCAACGTTAATTAGTTAACATGTAAATATTTAATCAGTGTCCCATGGAGAAGTGGGTGCAATAACAAAGTAGGAAGTAATATGTTTGTTGTTAATTGGAAAGTGTATAAACCGGATAAGTAAGCATATTAAGAATGCCTGTAAAAGTGTTGCTTTAACACCTATGTAAGGTAGGGTTCAAGTAGTTAATAAGAACGTGGCCACTAAGGGAAGTGTTGCGGGCCTAATGCAGTCGTGTATATTGAAGT